GACGAGGGCAGCGGGTTGTTGAGACTGAAACCCATCTTGGCGCGCGTGTGGGGAGAGAGTATGAGGTAGAGGGCGTTGCGGAGAAAGAGCGCGGCTGCGTTGCTTATGCCTGCGCTGCCGATGGCGATGGGCAGGAAGCATGGCGGGCGGCCGAGGCGGGGATTATGTCATTGCTTGTGGCTGTGCCTGGCACCCGACGCGTCCGCCCTTGGCGACACCTTGATCAAGAACACGACACGACACGACATTCACAACATCGCCACATGTCACGGGGATGCACTTACTTACTGCACGGCCTTTGAACCATCGCTGTCGCTGTCGCAAGAGCCATTGATCTACGACCACGCGTCCCGCTCACGCCAAGCCACCTGCGGAAGACTTGATCTCCTCCTCACTCACTAACCGCCACTTCCCAACTCACATCCAGTGCACAGCAAGTGAATGATCCGCGTCCACGTATACAGTGTGGCACGTTCGACATACTGCGCCACAGCATCTCTGTTGTCGCATTCGTTACCCTTATCCAGCCTGTCTGTCACACCTAGACGTTGCAAACCCCGCATCGTCACGGTCACCCGTGCGAGGAAGGAGCGATGGGTGGACTCTATGCGGCTCGTCAGGTATCGATTTACTCAGCCCTGCACTCTTCTAGCGTCTACGCTCTTACCGCCGAGACTTCAACTTGGGCGCATCGTATCTGGTCACGTGCTTTGTCTCATCGCTGTCCACGGGTATCCGCCGCAGGTAACCAAGACGTCCTTGAGCCTATGCAATACCGCGACTTCTACTAGCTAGACTCGCCTTTCGAGCCACATTGAACAAGAAGTACGTCTAGCATGCATCGCCTTTAAATCTCACTACAGGTAAGATAATATGCGGTAGATAAAGCGAGACACTTTAAGTTACCTCTCTAAGTTAAGCGAGGTTGTCTTAGAACCTTCCGCCTATACAAAACGCATAGTAGACTTATAGAACGCGTGTTATTTATCTAGGCTATAATATTAATAATCTAGGTTAAATCTATATTTAGAGCCTCTAAGAAGGCTCTATACTATTCTAAGTCTCTACCTTACTATTTATACTTACTCTATATAAATTTTATATATTCTATTATATAAAAAATATATATAAGAGCTAGTTTTATAATTCTAGCGCGTTAAAACCTAAATTTTTAATAATTCTTAGTATTATATATTAAAGTAGCTAGAGCTGCTAGGTCTTCTAAGAAAGATATTATATTTTAGCGCTATTTTAGCTACTCTAGACCTAAACTACTATAATGCTATAGTCTTAACTATAATCTCTAAATATAGCTATATTTTTCTAAAACTTAGAAATATTTATTATATAGATATAGAGTAGCTATAGTTAAATTTTAAAAAAATTTAGTTATAGCGTTATTATATTATAAAGAATTTAGTATAAATTATATTATAATCTTCTTTTTAAAATATAGAAAGTAGGCCTACTTTAGCTCTTTTACTTCTAAGTACTTTAATATACTTAGTGTATTAGTATAATATATTAGAAGCTTATTATAGATATATAGGTAAATAGTTTATAAGTCTTAAAACTAAATTTAGCTAAAGAATACTAAAGATATATATTACTTTAGTAGAAATAGCTAAAATTTAAAGTAAATTTAAATAGAAAAGAAAACGTGTATAATTAGAGAATTTACTATTAATTATATATAATTAAATTAAGTACTTTAATACTTTAGAGTAATATTTAAATATAAAATAAGCTAAATATAAGTTTTTTATTAGCCTAAATAGTATAAGTAGTTAGAATAATTATATAGCTACGTTTAGGTAAATCTTAGTATCTAGTAACTATTTTAAAAAATCTAGTAAATATTTAGAAAAACTCTTTAAGTAAAAGAAAAGCTATAAAAGCTACTAGAGTATTATATAAAGTACTAGAAAACGTAGTAAGGCTATAAAATAGGTACTCTATCTCTTTTCTTTACTAGCTAGATAAACTTAAACTTAAACTATTCTATTCTTTTATTTAGAAGGTTTCTAAGAGTAGTAGTAAAGATAGTATTAGCTTATTACTTCTTTAAGCTCTTTTTCTTTAACTATATAGCTTAAAGTATTAATAAAGAAAGTACTTAGGTTTCTATAGTAATCTTAGCTATAGTTAGTTTATAAGATTTCTAGATAGAAACTAAGTAATAAGGTATACTTATAGAAGGCTTCTTATCTCTTTCTAGCACTATAAAAGAATCTAAAGAAGTAAATAGCTCTAAATTATATATAGATTCTTCTTTTCTTATTCTTAGTAGGTTAAGCTACTAGTGCTAGTTAATATACTAAAGACTAATTACCTAGATAGCGTTAGCGTAACTTTTATAAAGCTTTAAAGTTCTTTTTCTAATAAAGTACTTATAAGAGAGCTTAAATTTAGTAGTAAAGAAGTATATATAGTTTTTAGTTTTATTATAGTTATTAGTAAAAGTAAGAATAACTTATTTCTTAATCTTCTTAAAAGTGTAGTAGAAGATCTTTCTATAAAGAAGCTAGAATTCTTAGCTTACTACGTTAGTAGGTACCTTAGTAGTATTATTAGTATACTCTTTTTTATATTTACTTTTAATAGCTTATATAATTTATATAATATTAGTAATAATATAAAGAAAGTAACTTCTATACTTATAAATAAGCTTATTCTTTAAGTAACTATAAGAAGCTTCTATCTTAGATATTACCTAGACTCTAAAATTAGAAAGATCTTAATAGAAATACTCTACCTATTTAGCCTACTAGAGAAAGTGCTACTTCTTAATATACTCTAGAAGATACTCTTAAAGTACGTAGTCTCTTTAAATAAAACGCTAGTAATCTTAAAACTACTATCTAGTTAGTTATTAAACTAGCTTATTCTACTAGGTAATAAAGGTATCTTTTTTTCTTTTAATTTTAGCCTTATACTTTTTGTCTAGAGTAACGTAGATATTCTAAAATAAAAACGCCTACTTTAAAATATTCTAGTTAATATACTAAAGATAGAGATAGTAAGAAATAAGTAGAAACACTATTTAAAGAGCTACTTTTAGAGCCTTATTACTATTAGTAATAAAGATTCTAAATATTATCTAGAGCTTCTTAAAGAGCTTTTAAAAAGCTATTATCTACTAAATATACCTAGTAATAGTCTTTACGTTTATAAAACTAAAAGTAATATTAAAGATCTTATTTCTAGTGTTCTAGCTATAGACGTAGAAGAGTAGTATTTAAAAATAGTTTATTTTATAGGTATAATTAATAATAATAATATCTAGATTTACTTAAATAATAGAGAGAGACGCTAGGTAAATAAAGAAAAGTAAGTAGAGATAGCTAATATTATTAAAGTCTACTTTCTTAAAGAATTTCTAGCTAGATTTATTCTAGAAGTTCTCTAGAATATTAAGAAGAGCTTCTATATTAGACTTTCTACCTTACTATTACTAATAAAGCTTCTAGACTTTATTTCTAACGTCTCTAAGTCTAAAACTATAGCTAGTAGTAATAAAGTCTTTATATATCTTTGCTAGAAGGTTACTCTATTTATACTACTACTTAATTTAGGCTAAAACTATACTATTATACTTTCTATAATAGAGAAGAAGCTTTAGGTTATTATTTTAGAGATAATTATAATAAAAAACTTTCTCTATAAAGTGCTAGGCTCTATCTTTTAGCTTTAGAAGATCTCTTTATTTATAGTTAGTTTTAGAAGTCTTTTACTTCTTTCTAACTTCTCTTAACCTATTATTATACTTTCTAGAATACTAGTAGTTTAGTACTACTAATATTATTTTTTATTTAAGTATTTTCTTTAAAGCTCTACTATAATTCTTATAAAGAATAATTATAGTAAAGCTATTTAGAGTAGAAAACGTGTTTAGAGTATTTTTTACGTCTTTTATACGCTTAAATTTATAGATTATAAGTAGAAAAAAGTCTTCTTAAGATACCTAATAAAGATTCTAACTCTAGGTATTATAATAGCTTAGTAGGTAAGCGTATAGATTATTAGAGGTAATTTAGTTATTATTAGAAAGGTTATTAGAGTTAAAGTATTTAGAGCTAAAAGAATTATAATTATATTTAAGTATTATTATAAAGATCTAGAATATATTAATACTATCTAGAATAAATTAATTAATAATAATTTACCTATCTAACTATTTTCTATAATTTTTAGTATTATAAGCTTATAAAAATAGCGCGTAACTTTTTATAATATAACTTTAATAAAATTATATAAGTAATAATAGTTATAGTAGATAGAAAATAGAAGATTAGTTAAAGTATTAATATTTTAGTTTTACTATAGAGGTAAGTATAAACACTATTTAGTGTTAGAGATTAGGCTCTAGCGCCTCTATAGCTAAATTAGCTAATTATCTATATTTTAGCTAGAATACGCCTTAGGCTACTTTATAGACCTATATAGTAAAAGAGCTCTCTAAAAAGAGAGGTTTTTAATAATATATTATATTATTAAGATAATAGCTTTAATTTTTAAATATAGTTAATATAAAGTTTTAGTAGACTTTATTCTACATTAATAGTTACCTATATAGGCCTAGTAGTTGCCTATATAGAACTAGCGCTAAAAAGTAACCTAGATTATTAATATTATAGCCTAGATAAATAACACGCGTTACTTATAGACGCAGAAACTACGTATACAACCTACTAATAATATAGTACTTACTAAAGCTACAGTATCTTAATTACTACTCTTCCCGGGCACTAAACCTAATTTTGCTAACTTCCTCACTATACGCTACTGCGAAGAATTAGTTAGTACAGTTATAGTAGCGCATTGCAAATTTCTAACTCGAAGCGAAAAGTCAGCACTGCATACTCACGCCCTAGCGTTCCTCTTTACGCCCTACATGTTAACCAGATGACGTAGATAAGTACCGCGATCCTCTCGCTCGGACATCGACATAAAGGAACGCGCCTGGCGCTACCCGTGCAACACGACAAGGTCAACACAAAATGTCAACAACCCAAACCATATTCGCCCTACGGGACCTCTCCTCCCCAGCAGACTCCCAAGTCCACCTCAACCCCAGCAAACCCTCCTTTCCACCCTCGCAAGAACCTGACTCAACCGGCCTTGGAGACTCCGAGCAGCCACCTGCTGATGCAGTAGAAGCCATCCCAGACGGCGGCTACGGCTGGACCGTCGTCGCATCCTGCTCCTTCCTCCTCTTCTGGATCAACGGATACACAACTGCATGGGGCGTCCTCCAAACCGCCATTTTGAAATCGCCTGCGCTAAACACCAATCTGCGCACCATCACTTTCGTCGGCAGTTTGTACATGGCTGTCATGGTCGCTTTTGGCATCGGGGGGATAAGAGTTATGAGGTCTTTCGGTGTGCGATACACTGGCCTTGCTGCGACGATTCTTTTTGGAATGAGTCTGGTTGCTACGAGTTTTACCCTGGATCATCTCGGCGGGTTGTTCTGTATTGCGGGGCTGTCGATGGGCGTGGGGACGTCGCTGTTGTATGCGGCGACTAATAGTCTGCCGTTGCAGTGGTTCAGCTCTAAGCTGGGTATTGCCAATGGCGTCGTCAAGGCTGGTGGTGGTGTCGGCGCAACGGTGCTTCCGCTTGCTTCGCAGGCACTCATCGACAAGTTTGGACTGCAGTGGACGTTTCGCATATTGGGCATCCTTATTATGGCGACTGGGATTCCGTGTACATTGGCGTTGAAGGAACGCGCGACCACTGGCACGCTTTCGCGGTTCGATTCGTCGCTGTTGAAGAACGTCCCTTTCCTCACGCTGACCATGGCCGGAGCAGTCGCCGTCTTCGCACTCTTTGTACCACCCTTCTTCCTACCGCTTTTTGCGAGCTCGATCGGTCTGTCAGCTGGAACTGGTGCTGGGCTAGTTGGTGGATTCGGTGCCGCAACAGCAGTCGGTCGTATCCTAGGCGGGTGGACCTGCGATAAGATCGGGGCCTTCAACACATTGATGATTACCTGCCTGGTCAACTCGGTCAGCATGCTAGCCATCTGGCCGGTCAGCACCTCGTTGGCTCCTCTGTCTGTCTTCGCTATCGTAAACGGTTGTGCGAATGGCAGCTTCTTTGTCAGTCTGCCGGTTGCTGTCACAGTCGTCGCCCCACATTCTGCAGCCGCGTCCATCGCTCTGATGGTCTTCTTCTGGACTCCGGGTTATCTTCTCGGCGCTCCCCTTGCGGGCCTATTGATTGAAGCGACTGGTGCGGCGGACTCTACGTCGATTGGACCGTACAGGGCTGCTATCTTTTACGCCGCGGGCACGGGTGCTCTCGCCACTTTGCTTGTCCTCGTTGCGCGCCTACGTTTGGACACCAAGGTTCTGAAGCGATTGTGATGAGCTCTTTTACTTAATGGGGCAATGTTCACATTTTCAGGATATCGTCATGATCGGATCATTCTCTTCTTGCACGAGCGCAAGGCGACGACGTCGCAGACCATCTATGTACCTGGATCGATACCGTACAACAACTCCAATAAATAACTCTTCACTTCTTCCTTCGCCCAGCTCATCTTAATAGCGTTCTCCGCCAACTTCTGAATCTCCAAATTGGTGAAGTTGCAATACTTCTTCACCACCAGCAAATTCTCCCACACCCACGTATCCTCCATAAACGCTGGATCGTCGCTCGCAATACTCATCACGATACCGGCGTCGAAGAGAGCGCGAATACGGTCAAACACCTCGTCCATCGGTTGATGCCGAATATAACTCCAAGGACAGATCGTCATACCAAGCCCCTTCTCTTTGATCAACGCCATAAGCTCCGCATCACCAGCAGCATTCAGCCCATGGTCGATTCGATCCGCGCCTGTACCCGCGATACTGCATGCCACCTGGCGGACATGTTCGAGAGGATACGGCTTGCCAACGTCACAATGCGCTGTAAGACGAAAGCCATCCTTCCGCGCTCTGACGAAGATCTCATCAAACAGCGATGGTGGCCTGTTGACCTCATTTGAATCTAGACCAATACCAACGATTACATCGCGGTACGGAAGCGCCGCCTCGTAATGCCGCATCGCGGACTCTAGTGATTCGTCGCGCAGGAAACACATTATCCATTTGGACTTGACCTGCATTCCGCATCAGCAATCAGCAAAGCCATATCTCTTGAAGATTGAAGAGGAACCCTCAGGGCGGGCTTACATTGAGAATCTGCTCCGCATCCCACGTCGCCTCCCGAAACCCTTGCATCATCGTCTCCCAACTCGTGCCTACACGCGTATGTCCCTGCGGATCAAAGAAGATCTCCGCATACCGCACGTTCATCTCATCAGCACGCTCATAGTACTCCATCGCAAGCTCATAATAATCCTCCTTCGTCTTCAACACTTCAAAACCACCGTAATACGCCTCGAAGAACGAGAGCGTCTCTTCTGTGTTATCCATGCGGTTTCCTTTACGTGGTTTCAAGGTGTCGTGGGAATCTCGCAGTTCGGCGAGTGAAGAGAATGGTAGACGCGTTCGTGGGTTGAGGATGGGTTGGTTGTTTCGTTGTGAGAATTTCCATTTGAGGTCGGCGCTTATGATTCCTTCGATGTGGATGTGGAGTTCGACTTTGGGGATGGAGGCGATGTAGGCGTCTTTTGTGGATGCGATGGAGCGGCGTAGGTCTGCTCGGGAGGCTACGGGGAGGGCGTTTTCGACGTCTGTCATTGTGGTCGAGGCGTCGTATTTGGTTAGTTTGGCTTGTTAACCGGGAGAAGCAGAAGCGGCTCAAGAAGGTTGTTGTGCTAAGACTGCACTTTTGACGGCTTTGTTGATACCGCTATCACGTTCAAGTAGTTTGATATATGTATACTACTTCGTGACTCATCAAACCCTTCGGCTCATCATTGACCCGATCAGGCGACCATCACTCTGACATGCAAGTCGGCAGACGGCGCACCCCGATTGCTATTTGAACAGATTGTGTATACTCTACCTCCGACGGAGGAGTGCTGTGTAGAAGGTTGTTGCGGTGCGACGTCCCGAAGTCTACGTCAACAGAAATGCCAAGCCTAGCAACATGGTGCCAACAAGAATCGATACGGGGAAGACAGCGGTTATCACGACGCTCCGACACTCACGATACGAGTCAAAGATGTATCTTTTCGTTTAGCATTATGTATGTGTAGCGTTCCGACGTTTAGATAAATATATACAGGAGATTAGTCTATAACATAGCAAACATCCAACGGCGCGCGCGCCCCGATGATCTACAAAGCCCAAGCAACAGCACCGAAGACAACCGCCATAACACCGCCAGCGACACGGTCAACGGCAGCAGCGCCAGTGAACTGAGCGGGACTAGATGAAGTAGCGTTGGCAGGACCAGTGGGCATAGCACCAGTTCCAGTCGGCACCATAGTCATAGTACCGTTAACCATATGCGGGGGCACAATACCAGAAGGCATGTGTTCCATCGTGCCAGACGGCATAGGAGCCATCGAACCAGTCATGGTGCTAGCAGCAGGCATAACATCCATCGCCGTCGAGCTCATAACAGGGAACTCGCTGGAAGGCTTGAAACCTCTGCAAAGACCGCCGCTGCAAATGTTATACGCACACTGATCATCGCTGCTGCACTCGGCGTTGAAGTTTCCGCATCGAGCAATCAGCATGGCGTTGCTGGCCCAGCACTGCACGCCATTGGCACACTGGTCAGGCTTGACGTAGGGATTGCAGTCCGCGCCGAGAGGCAGGGAACCAGCGGGCGCGACGACGGTGGGTGAGGGCGCGGGCTGAGGGCCTTGGTTGGTGGGTGTGACGGCGCCGCTGGTGGGCATTGCTGACGCCGACGACGCGGCCGAAGATGAGGCGAGGAAGCCGTTGCAGAGGCCGTCGGACAGGTTGCACGTGTTGTAGGCGCATTGCTCGTCGCGGGTGCAGGAGGCTTGGAAGTTGCCGCACACAGGGATGAGGCCGGAGTTTACGGCGTAGCAGTTGGCGCCGAGGGCGCAGGGCACGCCGCCGGGTGTGCAGTTTGAGCCGACGGGGATGGTGGTGCCTGTGGGGGAGGCGGCGGCGGGGGTGGATGTGGTTTGCGCTGAGGCAAGGGTCGCGGCTGCGGCGATGGTGAAGATGGTGTAACGCATTTTAGCTGTTGTTGTTGTGGACAGTGCTTCGTGAAGTGAGTGGTGTTGAGATGCTGAAATTAACGAAGCGAGTGTCGTATGTTTGTGATGATGTGGTGATGATGTGGTGATGTTGTGATGGAAACAAGAATGATGCGAACGAGGATGAGACTATATACTCATAGTCCTCGTGTTGTTGCGCGGTTTAAACTGTCGTACCTGGACGACGATAGTTCAGCTAGCACCTAGCGCTCGTAACCAGCCTTCCAATTCGCCACAAGGTGCCGGTTACACGGGGCTACCGCGAATGACGATGTCCAAAGAGCCGAAGCTACCTCCGCAATCGACACGCGTCCGTGCTTGAAAGCTTGAATAGAATATTTTTGGACCTTCTAGCGCTGTATAGCGTCGTCGGGATGTTGCATCTCGGCCTCGCGGAGTGGCGCCGATGGGAGCCGCAGTGGCCGCGTCGCTCCGACCGAACGTTGGCGCATTATGATCTTTCTTCGTTGGAAGTCTCGACTTCGCGACTTGTGCAGTCCACGCAATGTAAGGCGCGTCTTCTCTTCTAGGTGCTCTGGCATGCGCAATGCTCTACACAAGTGACGAGACGATTGTGAGCAAGTAAGACTTGGAGCTTGTCATCTGCACGGGCCGCGAAAATGCGGAGTTCAATGCGCTCGCCGATCATTCCAACTCTTTGGCCCACTCTCCCAGCCATCTTCCCTGAACACCAGACATCTTGGACTACCATCGTCATCAGTCCATGCTCTGAACATGCCTCCACAGTTAAAGTCTTGTACTACCGTTACTTTGCTGCCAACAAGTTCTATGCCGATAATACCGCCGGTGCCTTCATGGGTTGCGCCCCAACGATCTCCAGCAGATCGCTGAAGCTCACCGTCAGGTCCTGCCATCCACGTTGTTGCGCTGGAAAGCGATGAGCCCGAGAACCTTGATCTGGCAGCTGTAGTGCGAGCCGCGCACGTGCGAAGGAACGAGTCGCCGTTGCCTGTCCCTGAGAGACCCACGGCGTGGCGCGTCGACACGGGCTTCTCGTATGGCTGTGCTGGCGATGATGTAGTTGCTCGTGTCGAGGGTGATCCAAGCGAAGGTAGACAGTCGCCCACTATCCCACGTATGTCGCCTCGTGATAGTTTGTCGATCGGCGAGGCGACGCAGGGAGTAGGCTGATACAGCATCTGCGGTCCAGCAGCCTTCTCGTCGTGCCACTCTTCAGCCCAGAACCCTGCACCGATGGTCGGCGTATCTCCAATGCGCCCAGGAACTTTGTTCGTCAATCCACCTGTCGATGTTGCCGTGCAGACGGTACCGAAGCTGTCAACAACGACGGCGCCACACGTTCCAAGCGGAATGTAGTTGTCCTTTTCCCAGTCGCTCATGGCGTCGACGCTGACGCCCATCTGCCCCTTCTTCGCGTCTTCCGCAAGGCCGCGTTGATGTTCATCCCATCTCTTCTGGGTGAAGAAGTAGCTTGGGTCCACAATATCAAGTCCCCCGGCTTTTGCGAGTCCCTCTATGAACTCTCCGCTATATTGGCAGTGGTCAGCTGCACCACCGCCGTCTGCTTCTTCGCCTTTGATGAGCAATTCTCTCGCCAGCTTGATGGGGTTCTTGACGTGGCTGAGCAACATACATCCGACGCCTCGTTTCTTATAGCCGTTCGAAACCATGATGCTGCATTCGAGTTCGTTCTTGCCTTCGCGCGTGAAGACCGCGCCTTTGCCGGAGTTGTACAGCGGGTCATCTTCAAGAAGCGAGACGGCATAGGTTGCGACATCCAGCGCTGTGGAGCCTGGTTTGCGAAGAAGCTCCTCTGCTTTCCCGAGGATGTTGAGGAGCGAGGCGCGGTACTCATCGTAGCGGTCACGGGGTATCGAGGTGCGCGTTAAATTGCCCGCACCACCATGGATGATGATGCGGGGCTTCACATGAGCGCTGGCACTCGCGGAAGCAGCCCGCTTCTCGGTCATAGTATCTAGCTGGCTGTTGTTGAAGTTTCCTCGATTGTGCACTGTGATGTTGGCGATAAGGCCTGGGCGTGTGGACGGGTAGGTGCCTGAGGCGACCGGTAAGATAGCGCTAACCGAGGCTGGGTTAGCGTGCGTTTGCTGTGCCACCTTCCAAGTCTTCTCGCGACGTGATCTTCGTCCCTTGCCTTGCCCCTCATCACGGGCGCACCAATACATACCTCAATAATCTCAGCTTCGTCCTAGAACAACACCCTGTCGCATGCGACCGGCGTCGATACCCGGTTATGGCATTCATCGTTCGCTCTCGACTGTACATCGGCTGAGACGTTGTTCAGCCTGGTGGCCGACATTGCATTTAACAACGACACGCCGCAAACATGCGGCTGCTTAACACGTCCACATTAGAGGTGCAAGAATTTCTGGAAAGCCAGGTGCCGGAGTACGTGATCCTCTCCCACACCTGGAGGGACGAGGAAGTCACTCTTCAGGATCTCCTGTCCGGCATAGCACCGGCGAAGAAAGGCTATGCAAAGCTTACGGGCTGTTGCAAGAGAGCGAAAGACGATGGGTTCGCATACTGTTGGATTGACACTTGTTGCATTGACAAAACTTCAAGCACTGAGTTATCCGAGGCTATCAACTCCATGTACCAATGGTATAAAAATGCGTGCGTCTGCTACGCCTACCTTGAAGATGTTTGCTCGGAACGCAAACCAGACGATTTCATTTTCAAACCATTCGCCAAGTCGAAGTGGTTTACACGAGGCTGGACATTACAGGAGCTCATTGCGCCTCCAATCGTGGAGTTTTATGACAATTTCTGGTCAGAGATCGGGACCCGCAGCAGTTTACAATACCGACTAATGTCAATTACTGGTATCAATACAGACGTACTCACCGGTGGGAATCCTCTCAAATATGCCGTGGCTGTAAGATTGTCATGGGCGGCAGGTCGCCAGACCAGTCGTTTGGAAGATCAAGCATATTGCCTCTTGGGAATACTGGGTGTGAATATGCCCCTTCTCTATGGCGAAGGCAAACGCGCATTTTTACGCCTTCAGGAGGAGATGCTTCGGGTTGACGAGGATTACACTCTATTTGCCTGGGACGCGCTTTCGCCCAGCGTCGACAGGAGCTTCGCGACCGAGAGCCTTCTAGCCAATTCGCCTTCAGACTTTAGAACCTTCTTGCCGGTACGCGACTTGGTGTATGCGGAGCTATCAAAGAAGGATGAGGTCTTTCGGCGCGACGACTTGTCTAAAACTTGCTTCTCCGTACTTCCGCCCCCCGAAGATCACTCGCCTCCGCGTCTGACCAGTCGTGGTTGTCATCTCAGTCTACCTCTATTTGCTCACGAGGAACGGTCTTGGTATGGCTGCCTGTCGTGCTTGAAGCGCGGCTCATCTGGAACGTTTCTCTTATGCATTATGTTACGTCAAGATGAGGGCAACGAGTATCGTTTTGAAAGAGACTGGGACACTTCGGGAGAACAGGGTACTCTTATTTGTCTTCCTTTGAGTGCTGCGAAAGAGTTTCGGTACACTTCTATCTACGTGATCACCTCGATCGCGTCTTCCTCCAGAGTCCAAGACGAAGGTCTTTCTATGGTGCGAATCGCGTTAGAGCCTACGTTAAACTCCAAGATTGCACTTGTTTCATCGCGAAACGGTGACGTGCAGATACCCTCCAATCTATTAGACAGTGGTTCTGACCGGGAACGCACGAGGAGCGAGGCTAGCGACACAGCTAGACAAATGCCTGATGAGGGACCGCACACTGCAGATATGAAAGCTCCCTTGCCTGATCTGATGTCCACCACTTGCTATAGTGGACGCGAAAACGATGATTTTGAGTTCTATTTCGAGCTTCACACCGGCCTAGAATTTAAGGTTATCGTTACTGTGCGCGTGGATCACAACCCTTATGTATCCGCCTACATGATACATAAGACTGGATATCCAGACGCTGGGCCAACACAACTACCGCGACTACCAGAACTACCGGGACCACCACGGCAACGGCGGCCACTACTACTACCGCCGTCACCACCAATGGAGCCAGTGTCGGGTCTCTCTCTTGATCGCACAAGTCTTTTCATCCGAGATGCAACAGACAGCTTCGACTTCGGATGGTCTATCCGATTGTCTATACGGCGTGCAGGCTCAACACCTCTTGCACCCAACACTAAGCAGTACGTGCTTACACTCAAGAAAGAACAATCGCGTACTTGAACCCTCCACATGGACATAGAGTAGTTATCAGCTGACTCTTGCTAGCGGAACGGAACTTGGTTGCGGAAGAACGAAGCATCTACCGAGGCCTATTCAAAAATCGAACCGCCAAGATAACTGAATACCCTTAAAGTCTGGACTACCTGTAGGTTTAATGAATCTTCGTTCTCGCAGTACTATAATCCACAGTGGTTTAGTTTCTTCCTTGTGTAAGGTATTCGATCCGCGGAACATCGGTATATCGAACCTCACTGGCGCCTACGAGACGTGGATGAACTTATACACTTCGGAAATCAACACTACGAAGCTCGATTAGAGATAGCCAACATCGCTGCCCGTCCCTATGTCAGCGTATTCCCATCCGCACCCCCAATCCCCCCATCAACCCCCGTCCTCTCCACCTCCACCCCCTCCTTCCTCTCTCTCACGCTCTCCACCACCCCCGCCGCCCCCTCATACCCAACCGCCTTCAACCACTCCGGATCAATATTCTCCACCGCCAAATACGGACTAACATCCGCCTCAGGAAACAACTTATTCCTCATCGCATACCCCATACCGAGACTTGCCCACGGATTCCTATGCATATACTCAATCTCAAAGTCTTCATACCTCGGCGTCTCGATAACCTCAGCGTATTGGTTCGAGGAGCCGGGCCAGACAGCGTTGACGCGCCCAGTATCGTTGTTCTTGTACCAGGATCTGCAGGGACCCTTCCAGACGGTGTGTTTGATCCATTCCTGGGCGTGGGCGTTGAAGGCGTCGGTGATGGATTGGCGGGGCACCCAGGATTTGATGTGGTCGCGTTGCATCTTTTTGATGATTTGGAGGGTGTATTCTGCGACGGCGAGGAGGGGGCCGGTGACGGACCCGTTTTCGACCGGCCAGGTTGGGCCGACGAACATGAGCCAGTTGGGCATGTCCGGGCAGGCGAGGCCGAGGTAGCCTTTGGGTTCGGACTTCCATTTTTCGTAGAGGTCGACGCCGTTGCGCCCAATGATGGGGAAGCGGGGGCGGTAGGTTACGTCGAAGCCGGTGGCGCAGACGATGGTGTCAACGGGGCGCTCGATGCCGTCTGCACCAACGACGCCTGTCTCGGTGATCTCATCTACGGCGGTGAAGTGGACGTCGACGTTTGGCTCTTGGATGGCTTTCATGTAGGGGTCGCCTGGGGTTATGCGACGGCCTGCGGGAAGTCAGTTCCGGAGCTTTGTTTGAGACTGTATGCAACTTACAGCCAACCTCAAACTTCGGGGTGAATCCCTCCAAGAGTCTTTCGTCTTTCAGAAACTCTTTCATCCTCTCTCTGAACAGCTCTTGAGCGCCCTTTTGCGCTTCACTTCCGGCGTAGAACGCCCCCCACAACCCGTTGACCTGGTTCTCAATATCTTTGGCATGCGCAACGAGCTTACGCGGGTCTTTGCGGAACTCATCACGCTCTTCCTGCGAGTACTCCTTGTTCTGGCCGTAGTTGTTCGCGATTTGGACGAACCAAACTCCGGTTCGGACGAAGATGTCCATGTGCTTTACATGTGGTTGCATGGTCGGTACTGTTTGGATGGAAGAAGCGCCAGATCCAATGACCGCCACGCGATCATCCTTCCACTGCTCACTTTGGTAGTCTTTCGGCCATGTCGCGGTGTGGACGATGCGACCCTTGAAGCTGTTGATGCCTTTGATACCAGGCCACTTGTAGTTGTTCAAGATGCCGGAAGCGTAGAGAAGAAGATCGCATTCCTCCTCGAACTCTCGTTCTCCACCAGAAGATGACTTCTGGCGGAGCGTGACCTTCCACTTGCCGACGTCGTCTTGCCATTCGGCTCGCACGGCTTCGGTGTTGAATGTCATGTACTTGCGCAGGTCGAATACGTCGCAGACCTTTTCGAGGTACTTTTGGATGTCTGGTGCGTAGGAGAAGAAGCGCGGCCAGTCTGGGTTGAGAGCGAAGTTGAGGGTGTAGGCATGCGATGGGATGTCGCAGGCGCAACCTGCAGGGGTCAGCTCACTCACGCGATGATTCACTAGTGGCTGTACCTGGATACCTGTTTTCGAGCCATGTTCCTCCTAGAGTGGCATTCTTCTCGTAGATGACATGCTCGACGTTCTGCGTGTGTTTCTGTATCTGGTACGCCATTTGAATGCCAGACAGGCCGGCTCCAATAGTCAACACCTTGAGCTTGCGAGAGGAAGGGTCCTGGAAGATGGTCAGCTCTTTGCTAGAAGCTCGAAGCATCGGAACACACATTATAGACAATGTCTGGGACGCTGTAGCCGCCAGAACCAGGCGTTGAGTAATCCCATTGCTTGCCGCTGCCTATCGTGTTCAGATCTGGCGCCATCTTGGGAGCTATGATACGACGAAAGACTGGGAAGACGGTCGTGGATCTTTTGGAGACTGATGGAGGAGCCAAGTGCAACTGAAAGCATCACAACTTTATAGATCGACACCGGGTACATGTCATCTCACATCACAGCAGGCATCGGGCGCCGGGCGTATTAGTCGCCAATGCTGACAGCTGTGCGTGACCCAAAGCTGATCCGTGGAGGACGATTTAGTAGGACAGCATACACCGGGGCGAAGGGGCACAGCCGCAATGTTGACCTGTGATTGATGATCCAGTCGATACTGTGCGGGGTTGTTGCGGGGTACCACATCTCCGAGGTCGTGAACCTAATGGATGGATCAAATGACACTCCGGATAGGTTGTTCAGGTAGTAATATTCCTATCTTTCTCTGATTGTTCAGCGCGTGTAATTGTCGTACATGGTTGTACATGATTACCAAGGTGTCGGCCGAGCTACGCCTCGACCTGTAAGTAAGCAGAAGTCGCGATGCGTACAACTGAGATGTAGTTGCGTGCTGATACTACGATGAACGGGTACACTACCGTCCAAATTAGTGTAAGAACTTATGTTGGTAAGATTTTAAGGCAATATAGACGCCTAAGAGGTGGTAGTTAGACTATTCGTAGTGTGTGGTGATTTCCTGCATGAGGATATGTCGTAGAATACGATACGTGCAAGAGCGCTTAAGCATTTTTATCTCTGAATGTAAGCTGCCTACGAGACAAAGTGCATTTCATCTTACTGGTCTCAATGCGCTCGAACAAGCATGCCTCTGCGCGTCGCCAAGTCGTTTCTGTCGCGTGCAACAGACACGCATTCACGCAGGACTCGCGTCGTCGCTGTGACACCAGGGTGGCGATAGCATAGCATCCCGAGCACGGATTATTTGCGTCGTCGATTCTTTGCAACTTTCTTGATAAGACACTCGCATCACACTCCATGGCCGATGGGAATGAACATGCAATGCCCATACCTAGGTAGCGAAGGATGCAGATGCCTAGACGTGACACGACCGTGCCTCCCTTAGCGCGCTACGCCCCGCAAGGACGTCACCGCGGTACACCTTCCCCAACAACCCAGCAACACCATGGACGCACCAGTGGGACCAGGACAGCCGCTCCAATCCCTCCCTCTAACAACGAGACGCATCAACATCCAAAGTTACTTTACAGCATTGACAGGCCGTTCAGCTGATTTTCCTACGTATACTGTGGTAAACACTACGCGACGGGAGCTACTTCGGTACGTACCTAAGTAACAGGGTAGACTAACGGCGCGTGGGTATTAACACGCTACCAGAGCCATTCAAACGCGGCGATATATAGCGGACTGCATAAGAAGAGTCCGCAAGAAGATCCAGAAATCCGTTGATAAGGCTGGAGAAGGCGCTAGCTGGGACGAATGCTACAAGCCTGTTCACAAGTACATGTGCTTTAGCTCTGCGCAGACAAGGGCGTATAACTCAGCTACGGAGTAAGATAAGTTCCTCTTGAAGGTGTATGGAGTTAATGTATGATATAGGGACCTTGATCGTGTAGTCTATGACTATGGCGCGTTGTCTTGCCGACTGTTTACCATGGAGATTATACATGACCTACCGGAAGATATCAGAAGCAAAATCGCTGGATACTTGACGGACGAAGGCGTGCCAGTCGTACTGGGCGCACCGCCAGTTACGTCTGATCAGACGTGTCCCAACAACATGAGCGTCCGGGATGCTCTAGCGAATATGGTGACCGACGGCCGCAAACACTATCTCGATTGGAAGTACATGGGCTACATGACCCACTACGTCGTGACGACCTGGTTCCATGTCAACACCTTCCTCATGCACGACTCCGTCGCGTTGGATACTTTCTTCCGCGACATCTGGCTCGGCGACACAGTCTTCCCCAGCATCGTACCTGCGGAGTACTTGTACCACCTCACAGTCGTATTGCGGGGCGATATAAAAGACTACGAGCCCCAGAAACGTGAATGTACGGGGAGGACTCTATGTATCAGGCCAGTGAGGCCGGCGGACGTGTTCGGCGAGCATCTTGAGCTAGTGCTTAAGATGAAAAAGCTCCGCGGGTTCAGACTGCATGTTATTATCGAGGCCGCCGAGCTGGAACGGGTCGAGGAGATTTTGAGCGCGGTGAGGGGCGTGAGGGCGAGACTGATGAGTAAGGGTGTGAGGGTTCAGTTTACTTGGGGAGGCGAGGAGCTGGATGGATATTTCAGGGAATTGCAGAAGATTGGGGTATGAAGTAGTGATATCGTTGGGCGACAGTGCCTATGGGGTCAGTGGACGACTACCGCTCTAGTCCAATCAGGCCCTCCACTTCCTGTGCAATCTTGCCAAACGCCATAGCCCGCTCGCCCTCCGGTTCCGCTACCACAGTCGGCTTCCCACGATCAGCGTCGTCGCTGATACTCGCATGTAACGGAATCTCGCCTAGCATATTCAAATCGTACTTCCCACACATCGCCCTGATCTTATTCATATTCCCAAACACCTCATGCACATCCCCGCAACCCGGGCATTTGAAGCCCGCCATGTTGCACACCAGACCCAGTAGCTTCACATCGACTTTGCGGAAGAGTTCAACGCCCTTCACCGCGTCTTTGAGTGACAAATCCTGCGGCGTTGATACAATGAGTGCGCCGTCTAGATTGAGCTGCTGGGTGATTGTGAGTTGGACATCGCCGGTGCCGGGTGGCATGTCGAGGACTAGGACGTCTAGGCCGCCCCACTCGACTTCGTGGAGGAGTTGCTGTAGGGCTTTCATGACCATGAGACCGCGCCATGCTACTGGTGAGGATTCTGGGATGAGGTACCCCATGGACATGGACTTTAGGCCGTAGTTGGAGAGGGGGAGGAGTTGGTTGTCTGGGTTGTGGGATTAGGGGCTGGCAGGGAAGGTGGTTGGTGTGAAGACTGACTGGATGAAAGTCGGGGTTCGCCAGATAGATTGAGTAAGGTTGGTATTGATGGACCGAAGATGTCGGTGTCAAGGATGCCGGCTTTGTAACCACGACGCGCGAAGCTCAAGGCGAGGTTGACTACAACACTGCTTCAGCATTGCGGATTGTATTTGGTCATAGACGGCAAGATTACCAGCGATAGTACTCTTTCCAACTCCACCTTTTGCGGATGAAACAGCAATCACTTTCTTCACATCTTTGATATTCCGCTTCTGTGGCAAGCCTCGCTGCATCCGCGGCATTTGTGGAGGCGCGCCTGAGCGCGGAAGACCCTGCGCTCGCCATCAGCTATTGCGCAATTGATCAGCCATGCACGCTACGTACGAGGGGATTCTCATGCTGCAGACATCGCAACGTCGAGAACAACCGTGGCTTCAGCATCGTCGTGGTAGAAACGGGGGTTGCGGAGTTGATGGCGGAGGTGACGCGCATCGGCGTTTCATTTAGCCGATGTCATTGAACTTTTTTGTGGGGCACAGAGTGAACTTTCTCTTCCGACGCGCTTGACCAGCAGCACCAACACCAAACCACTTGTACACTATGGGGAAGTCCAAGATCAGAGGTATGAACTTTTTGCATATGCGCGACCGGTCTTTTGCTCACATGACTACCAGATTTCGACCCCGAGTCGCTACTCGACCCTGCGCCGAGCTGCAGCGAAGACGAGCGCTCCGACGCCGAACTCTCCGAAGTTGAAGATGATAATGCTGGGCGCGAACATTATACGTCGGTTGGGAAGAGCAAGCTGAGGAAACCGGTTGAGGTGCCTCTAGGCCCGGAGTACACTGGGCGCAAGGTGGACCGCAAAGCACTCGAGGACAGCGACAGCGACGACCCATTTGCGAAGGGCTTCGACGATGTAGACAGCGAAGCTAGCGATGATGACGACGAGGATGGCATCAACGGCGTAGAGCTCGATGGCGAAGAGGACAGCGAAGAGGACGACATGAATGGCGATTTCGACGAAGACATGAGCGACGAGGACGAGGACATGGGAAGCGCAGGCGAAAGCGGGAGCGACGACGAGGCCAACGACTCCGAAGGCTCAGACGATGACGAGCCTGGCGCCGAAGCCAAAACTGATGCGTCCACCATCCGCGACCTCATGTCCGCCAACAAGTCCTTCACGTCGGGCATCGCTGCTGGCACGCAGTCCGATGTCGCCAAGGGCGAAGCCGTAAAGACCCAACGAAAGACGTTCGATACGCTCCTCAACTCGCGCATTCGACTACAAAAGGCCTTGATCTCGACAAATTCTATGGCTGCAGAGCCTTACAAGACGGAAACCGCGAAAGACGCGCCCATCGAGGCAGCAGAGGCAGCCGCCCTGACTCTCCTCAACAACCTCACGAACCTGCGCCTCTCCCTCGAAGAGTCGCGAACGGGTACGAAGCGGAAGCGCCCAACCTTCGACTCCGCGACCCCATCGTCCGAAATCTGGACCACCATCCAAGCCAGCGAGAAAACCACGCTCCCCCACCGCAAAGCCGTCCTGGAGCGCTGGTCCAACAAAACCAAAGCCACAACCGTCACAAACAACAAAGCGCGCCTCAACGCATTCGCCCAGCAAACCCTAACCGAAGTCCTCGACACGCAACTCTCATCCCCCCACCTGGTCCTCCGCACGCAAACCCCGCGCTCTTGTGCGCCCCTCCAATCCTCGACCAAAACCCCCCAACCCTCCCCCCTCATCTACGACGACGCCGACTTCTACGGCCTCATGCTCAAAGAGCTCCTGGAGCAGCGGTCCGCTGACTTCAACGCGAACGGAACCGCGGAGTTTGTTGTGCAGGCGCCGTGGCAGGTTGCGCGCGAGGCCAAGACGAAGAAGGTTGTTGATACGAAGGCGAGTAAGGGGCGGAGGTTGAGGTATACGGTGCAGGAGAAACTGCAGAATTTTATGGCGCCCGAGGAGAGGGGGCAGTGGGGGGATAGGCAGAGGGATGAGTTGTTTGGGAGTTTGTTTGGGCAGAGGGTGGGGCTTGGTGAGGAGGATGGTGGGGATGGGGAGAGTGAAGGGGAGGGTGTGGATGCTGAGGAGGCGGGGTTGATGCTGTTTAGGAGTTAGGGGATGAGGATGTGGAAGGCAGATTTATGTCATGCAGCTGGCCTGATGTTGTTAGAAAGTATATTATACTTACGATTTCTCTCATTCGTGAAAATATCTCTTCGTCAAGGTCGTCTATGTTGCGGAAGTTAGATATAAGTGGGCTGAGGGGATTCAAGGCAGATCAGTTCGCGAAGATCTTGGTCTGTCTTCACTGTCTTTGCTGTCCTTGTCCCCGGGCTGCCGTTCATGGTGGTTAGGCTTGATCGCGCAGTAGTGAGTTGTCTTGTTGGCTGCTTTACGGTTTTGGTGGCGCATGTCAGCGAGCTCAGCCCCCAATCTGCATGCACATCTTCGTTGGCGCGACCAATCCCATCTTTTCCTTCCAGCCACTCGCTCAGCCATTGCTTCTCAGCCTTGAACTATCATGCCATATCTATAAGGTAGCCTTCCCGCGCTCTTGAGTGTGACTTTGATTCCATCCGACATCGAACTAACATGCCACCGTTCAACGCGTCGCATTCACACCTCGCGCACAATGCAACGTTCAATGCCAGCGTCCCTACGAACACGACTTGCTGTATGTTGCATTTCAATCCAATACCATCAGTTTCAAAATTGACGTGCTGACAGCCGATGCGTCATTAACACACGGCGTGTCATGGCAAAGCGCGTACTGGTCCGTCATGGCCTGCTCTCTAGCTGTCCTCCTACAAGAAACTGGAAAAGTGGTCAACGCACCATATCGCATCAGCTATGCTCTACGAGCATCTCCGCTTATCTGTGCGATCGATACGTTCTTGATGCTATTGAAGTTTTTGGTCATGCTACTTGTTGGTTGCTCGCCTCGAACTGCGATTAGGCATGTCTGGTATGATCGCTTTGTGGAAGATGAAGATATCGGGGATGGGTCGTGGGTAGTTTGGGTCTGGCGGGACTTTTCGCGGAAAGTCCTTGAGAACGACACGACCGAGAACGACCCCTCCCAGATTGTGGCGCCACAGATCGATATGCCTCCTGTCGACGCCGAAGCTTGTTATACATGCTCGTGCGCTCTTCCTGGTCACGACAGTGAGGAAATACGTTTAGCCGACGTACAACAACCAACCACTATAAGCGCTAGCGAAACGGTCGTGCCTACCCCAATAGCGACTCGAAGGGATAGCCTAGACCCCATTAGTGCGTCACGAAAGCGTTCCAGAACACTTCCTATAGTAAGGAACGATAGAAGTGCTATGATCGGTCTTTCTGCAAACCATTCGCCAGAGTTCAGTGCGATACTCATACGCCATCCAACACAGCCTAGTACTGTGGTTACATCGGGTGTGAATCAGATTGAGACCATCGTAACGCAAGGATTTGAAAGACCAGACGGTGGCGATGTAGCTGCTGCACGACCCAGCGTCTCGATTGTACACGAAGAACAGTCTCCAAACAACGCCATCGACAGAGCCCCAGACACAGTCGAACTACATCTTGATCGTCCCAGCCCTTCCGAACATTCTGCGACATACATGACGGCGCTTCCTGGCTGCGCCGTCGATCGCAGCTGGAGACTGAGTATGGTCAGTTTCATCTTCGGCGCAGTACCGCAGGCTGTCAAGGTATTTGCCATGGAGGGAATACCGATCACACAAATCACGGTCGCTATCTTGCTCAGTTCGTTTGTCACTGCGGAAGTGTTTCGCTCCATTGCTGGACCAGTCGGCGTCTCCAATCTCCATGAAGGACCAGCTGTTCTTCGTTACAAAAGACTCTTGTCATCTACGCACTTGACGAACCTCGCGATCATAGTAAGCTACTTCCATCTTACTCTCTTTACATTTATTCTTGTTCTTCTCGTAGTTCCTGGCCCGCCGGGCTCGGGACGCGGTGGTGTGTTTGCCTACGGTATTCCCCTCTGCTTAGCAGTCACCTCGTGGGTCTCGAATCGCGTTGTAGACGTGTTGGAATCCTATGTCTTCCCTGAGGCGTTTACTTCTTACCTCAAAGATATTTCACTTCATACAAGCCGCTACTGGGTCATTAAGGAAATGCGTGGAAAGCTAACGTCGCTTGTTCCCGATTCATTCATGCTAGGGCCAAGTCGCGCAGAGTCGCACATTCCGTATTTCGTCGTCTTTCCAGGCATCTTTGTGGTCATCTCCTGGGTCTACTGGCGGTTTTCAGCCTTGATAGATACCTTCCGTTGGAGCCTGTTTGCAGGTTTCATATGCCCTGCTTTTATCCTGACG